ATATATGTTGCTGGGCAGTGGTGGCATGCCTTTAACCCCAGCACTCAGGAGGCAGAGGCAGGTGGATCTCTGTGAGTTCGAGGCCAGCCTGGTCTATAAGAGCTAGTTCCAGAACAGGCTCTAAAACTACAGCGAAACCCTGTCTTGAAAAACCAAAAAAGTTATATCTATGTTAAATCTATTACCAAGAAAAAAGATTGCTGTGGGTTTTCTTCCCAGAACATTGTTCTGTACTGTGAACTTCTGTGCGACAATGTCCTTTTGTGTGGTTAGTGCCCTAATGTATGTTTTTAAAGATTGTATTTATTTACTTATTTTATTTATTTATTATGTATACAGTATCTGTCTGCACATATGCCTGCAGGCCCGAAGAGGGCACTAGATCTCATTACACATGGTTGTGAGCCACCATGTGGCTGCTGGGAGTTAAACTCAGGACTTTTGAAAGAGGAGCCAGTGCTCTTAACTTCTGAACATCTCTCCAGCTTCACTTGTGTGTTTTTAACTTACTCAAATTAGAAACTTTTTAAAAAATGGATTATTTCCCCTATTCTTTCTAATTTGTAAATATAAACTGTTATACAATGTGGGAAAGAAAAGAAAAAAAAAAAAACGAAGTCAGCCTGGACTATTGAGTGAGTTCCAAGATAGCGAAGGCTATACAAAAAAACCCTGTCTTGAAAAACAAAAACAAACAAACAAACAAAAAACATTAAGAAGGGTAGTTATGCATTTTTTAAAAATACTATCTGTATAAAAGGAGTTACTGGAGATAATATTGTTAGGAATGGGAATGGCACATGGTTGACAAGCGGGAAATGTAGCTCAGTATTTTTTTAAATCAGTGCTATAAAAAGGAAAATTGAAGCAGCTGTAGCAAGATCTTGACAACAGGGACCTCAGTTCTAGAAACATGAGATGTCATTGTACTTTTGTCTTTGGTATACATATGCAAATTTTCTCTTCAAAATTTTGTTTTTAAGGTTTTTTTCCCCCCCGAATGAGATCTAGCTCTGTAGACGAGGCTGGCCTCAAACTCAGAGATCTGCTTGCCCCTGCCTCCCAAGTGCTGAGATTAAAGGGGTGTACCACCACAACTCAACTAGCCTACTTTTTTTTCTTGGTTTTTTGAGACAGGATTTCTCTGTAGCTTTGGAGCCTGTCCTGCAACTTACTCTATAGACCAGCTTGGCCTTGAACTCACAGAGATCCTCCTGCTTCTTCCTTCGAATGATGGGGTTAAAGGTGTGTGCTACAACCTGGCTATTTTCTTCCAGATTAAAATCCCCATTCTTTCTTCAAAATTTCTTCTTTTTTTGAGACAGGGTTTTTCTCTGTAGCTTTGGAGCCTGTCCTGGAATTTGTTCTGTAGACCAGCTTGGCCTCAAACTCACAGAGATCTGCCTGCTTCTGCCTCCGAATGCTGGGGTTAAAGGTGCCAGTCTGATTTCTCCAAAATTTCTAGCCAAGGATTAGGACTGTAACTCAGTTAGATCATATGCTCATTAATGCTCTGGGTTTGAGCTCTAGCACCACAGCCACACATACAGAAAGATGGCGGCAGGTGTGTGTGTGTGTGTGTGTGTGTGTGTGTGTACACGTGAGCGCTCACATGCTGGAGAGCACAGAAGGGCAGAGTCAGGAATAGCATTGGTGGCGAGAACAGGAAGATTGACAGCAAAGCGGGGAAAAGCAGAAGCTGAGTGTATTGTGGCTAGCCAGAGGTTTTAGAAGAGGTCCTACTCTCCAGGAACTGTGTGGTCTGATGGAAGATGAGAGAGGCAGACTGTGTGGTGTGACTTGCTGTATTGTTCCTAAAAGAGGATAAAACTCAATTTCACAATTTTAGTTGGCAGCAAAAGAGTATAATTATTTGGAAGATATATGTTGTGGCTGATGTGTGGTTTGGGTTTATCTTGATTTAAAACCACCCTCCATGTTTAGAACATCGGGTCAGAAGTTGAGAATTCCACCATTGAGAAACAGCGGAAGGAGCTGCAGCTGCTCATTGGAGAACTGAAAGATCGAGATAAAGAGCTCAATGACATGGTTGCAGTGCACCAGAGACAACTTCTTTCATGGGAGGAGGATCGGCAGAAAGTGTTGACTTTGGAGGAACGTTGCAGCAAATTAGAAGGTCAGAAACACACGCGGCTCCATCTGCTGAGTACATCTGTGTGCTGACACACCGAAAGAATTCAGTCCTGTGGAAGATGGGCAGGTTTTAAAAACAGCCACGTAGGAAAAGTGCTGGTCAGAGCTAGAGTTATCATAGCATGAAGGCTGTGGGTGTAGCTCAGTGGTAGGGAATGCTCAAAGCCCTGGGTCACTACAGTCGTCTTTTTTAAAACCTAGAGAAATGGGTGACAAGATGGCTCAGCAGGTAAGGTACTTGCTGCTAAGGCTGAAGACCCTGAGTTCAGTCTCTAGGACCTAAACAGTGGAGAGAGTTGACTCCCTCAAGTTCTTCTTTGATTTTTGTAACACACAAGCCTTGGCACACGTGTGTTCTTGTAAATATAAATATTTAAAAAAAATTATGTATATGAGTGTATTGCGCCTTAACTACATGCATGCAGTACCAGAGGAAGTCAGAAAAGGGTGATGAATCTCCTGGGATTGGAGTTACAAGTGCTTATAAACCATTATGTGGGTGCTGGGAATCAAACCTGGATCCACTAGAACAGCAAGTGCTCTTAACGCTGAGCCATTTCTCTATCCCCTAAATAAAATTTCAAAAAACTCAAAATCGTGTTGGGAATTTAGTGTTAGTCCCACCGGAGAGAATAAAGGCCATTACTCGCATTGTTTGGTCAAATATGCACGCTTTCCTTTCTGTCGGACACGGCTATCTTCCTAGAGTGAGGTTTGAATAAATAGCACCAAACATAGGAGACAGTGGGGTTATGTAGCCCCCAAAACGGCAAGACCAGGAGTTTTCCAAGGGCTTGGGGATTTCCAGAGGATTTTGATTTGCATAGGAACTGGGCTTGGCAGAACATCTTATCAGGGTAGAGGTTAGGTATAGGGTATAAAACAGGTCAAATTATAGAAAATGGGTCATATCTGAGTTTTACAGAAAACAGGAATGAACTTATTTTGACCTTGTAACAAGGTGACTTAATTTTAAGATGGAGTCAGGCAGGTCCATCAATATAGCTCAGTTGGTAGAGTGTTTGCTTAGCAGGCATGAACAAAGCATTGTGTTCTGTCCCTAACATCATGAAAACCAGCATGGTCAGTGGAGTCAGATGACCACAAGTTCAACATAATCTTAGGTACAGTAATTTCGAAGCCAGCCTGGGATTCATAAGACCTTGTCTTAGCTGGGCGGTGGTGGCGCACGCCTTTAGTCCCAGCACTTGGGAGGCAGAGGCAGGCGGATCTCTGTGAGTTCGAGACCAGCCTGGTCTACAAGAGCTAGTTCCAGGACAGGCTCCAAAACCACAGAGAAATCCTGTCTCGAAAAACCAAAAAAAAAAAAAAAAAAAAAAAAAAAAAGACCTTGTCTCAAAAATTCCAAAAAGAAAAAGAAAAATATAAATATAAAAGATTGCTAATTGAGGGGCTGGAGAGATGGCTCAGCGGTTAAGAGCACTGACTGCTCTTCCAGAGGACCCGGGTTCAATTCCCAGCACCCACATGGCAGCTCACAACTGTCTGAAAATGCTATTCCACGAGATCTGACACCTTCACACCAATGCACATAAAATAAAGTTAAATAAATCATTAAAAAAAAGATTGCTAATTGAAAGTAAAATAAATAGGGCCTGAAAGATGGCTTAGTAGGTAAAGGCATGCCAGACCTGGGGACCTTAGTTCAGTCCCCAAGAGCCTCATGGTGGAAGAAGAGAACCAACTCTCACAAGTTGATCTCTGATCTCTACACCCATTGTGACATACATGCATAAGCTTGTGCACACACAATAAAAGTCAATTTAAAAAGAATTCAGGTAATATAAACAGGTGTGGTAGTATACACCTTTAATCCTAGCACTAGAGAGGTAGAGGCAGGCAGATCTGTATGAGTTTGAGGCCAGTCTGGTCTACATAGTTCTAGGACAGCCAGTGCTAAAAAGAGACCCAGTCTTAAAAAAAAAAGTGGTGTACAATATTTCTTTAAGACTGATTTATTTATTGTATCCATAGTGTTCGCTTGCATGTATGCCTGCTTGCCAGAAGAGGGTACAAGATCTCATTATAGATGGTTGTAAACCACCATGTGGTTGCTGGGAATTGAACTCAAGACTTCTGGAAGAGTAGCCAGTGTTGTGCCCTTAACCTCTGAACCATTTCTCCTGCCTGTAAAAATATTTCTTAATAACACAGTTTGTATATAGTCACTAGCACCTAGATTTTTGAAGTAATCAAGATTTGGGCTTGGATTTGCAGATTAATGGAGGTGCTTGCCTAGCATCCAAAGGACTCTGTTAATCTTCAGTACCACACACAAGAGCAAGATTTAATAAGTTCTTTATGGAAAGAGGAAAATTTACTGACCAGTAAACATGTTAGTATGTTCTCGTTCTCATTAGTAATTAGGGAAACACAAACCACAATGATAGACCATTTTATGTTTGTTAGTCTGGCAAAAGCCATCAGGCCTTGTTACCCATATACAGGAAGATAGAGAGCCACAGGAAGGGTATGCACTGCTGATGGGGGTAAGCTGGCACAATTGCTTTGGGAAATCATTTCACAGTGCCTGGGAAAGTTGAAGACATATGAATCCTTTAAATAAGGAAGGGTCTGAAGGCTGCGGTCCAGCCATTCCACCTCCAGGAATTTTCACTTCAGTTGCCTAGTGAATTTACTAATGCAGATTGTGGGCTGAGGAATATAACTCACTGGGAAAGTACTTGAAGCCCTGGGTTCCATGCCTAGCAACCTCCAGCCTCACCCCCCAAAATAGTAGATTCTGATATAATAGGTTTGGATTCTTTGCTTTTGGCTTCTTTTTTTTAATGAAAAAAAAACTTTAAAAGTTTAATGTATATGGGGGTTTTTGCTTCCATGTTTGCCTGTGTACCACATGCATGCAGTGTGTTCAGAAGTCAAAAGAGGGTGTTGGATCCCCTGGGAGTGAAGTTAAAGTTATAAACTACCATGTAGGTAATGGGAATCGAACCTGGGTCCTCTGAAGAACAACCAGTATTGTTAACCACTGAGCTGTCTTTTCTCTAACCTCTTGTTTTTTGATTTTTTTTTGAGGGGGGGGAGATTTCGAGACAGGATTTCTCTGTGTAACAGTCCTAGCTGTTCTGGAACGCACTCTGTAGACCAGACTGGCTTCAAACTCACAGAGATCCTCCTGCCTCTGCCTCCCAAGTGCTGGGATTAAAGGTGTGCACCACCACCACCTAACAATCTTATTTATTAATAGATTCATTTATTATTTTTATTTTTTAAAGATTTATTTATTATGTATACAGTGTTCTGACTGCATGTATGCCCGCATGCTAGAAGAGGGCACCAGATCCCATTACAGATGGCTGTGAGCTGCCATGTGGTTGCTGGGAATTGAACTCAAGGCCTCTGGAAGAGCAGCCAGTGCTCTTAACCTCTGAGCCATCTCTCCAGCCCCTCATTTATTATTTTTATTTTATGTGTTTGGGTTCTTTGCCTGGATGTATGTACGTGCATCATTTATGTGCCTGGTGCCCGCCAAGGCCAGGAGAGGGTGTTGGATCACCTGGAACTGGAAATACAGGTAGTTGTGAGCTGCCATGTGGGTAATGGGAACCAAATCCAGATCTTCAAAAGCAACATCGAACCATCTCTCCAGCCTTTATTTATTCTTTATCATGCAGGATGTGTGTGTGGATACGTACACACAGGTAAGTGCTTTTGCCTGAGGTGCTAGTGAGGGTCTTATCCTCTAGAGCTGGCATTACAGGCAGTAGTGAGCCACCCAGTATGGGGGCCAGGAGCCAAAACTGAGTCCTCAGCAAAAGCAGTTTTAGTACTTAAACTTACACTCTGAGTCAGTCAGCTCTTCAGCGTATTGTTTTCCTTCCTTACTCTTCTTTCCTCCTTCCTTTCTTCCTTCCTTCCTTCCTTCCTTCCTTCCTTCCTTCCTTTTTTTTTTAATTTTGGAACGGGTATTCTGTAGTTCAGGCTGGTTTTGAACCTGCTTTGTAGCAAAGGATGATCTTGAGCTTCTAATCTTACTGTCTTCACTTGCCTGGTGCTCGTCTGCTGGGATTACAGATGCTGTGCCTGGTTTAGCAGTCTTCATTTCTAGCCATTTCCCCAGTGATGCTGGTGCTCCAGGGTCAAGGACCACATTTTGAGTAGTGAAGCAAATATGCCCCAAGACACATGTAAATGGACATTCAGAGCAACACTACTTGACAGCTGCAGAGTGGACACAACCTAGATAATCACCAATAGTAGAGTAGATAAATACATGTTGGCATTATAATTTAATAGGCCTTCATGTTGCCGTGTTAGCAATAAGCACAAGTTACAGCATGGGTGGCTCTCAGGATCTTAATCTTAGGCAAACCACGTGAAGAGACAAACTCCTGAGTATAATTCTGTGTGTGGCTCACACTGTGCTCTGGGGTGGATGCAGAGATAGAGCAGTAACAGTAAAAGGCAAGGTGTTAGGCTCGTGGTGGGCAGATAGATGTCTGGCATACTGTCCTCAGCATGAGCAGTGGGTGGCAGCAAGGAAGGGGACTCTTCTGAGATCAGTGTCTCGGAAAGGGGGAATTAACAGCGAGTATGTGTAGGAAGTGACTTCTTGGTTGATGCCAATGTTTATTTCTGGGATACAAGTTAGGTCTTGTGCATTTCAGAATAAGATGTCTTTAAAATGCATAACACACCTTTACTCTGTGATCTGATTTTGAAAATGCTGCCTGTTAGATCTCGGCACAGACACAGTAACTGAAATTTCCCTCAGGTGAGCTGCATAAAAGAACTGACATAATCAAGTCTCTCATGAAGAAGGTCAAACTCCTTGAATCCAATCAAGCGGAATGTCAGACAGCTCTTCAGAAGACTCAGCAACAGCTCCAGGAAATGGCTCAAAAGGCTACACATTCTGCCCTCCTCTCGGAAGACCTTGAGGTTAGTTTTAACAAACTTCATTAGTTCAAATTCTGGGTTTTAGTTACAGAAAAATTAACCTTAAATGTCACCATAAATGGATATGCGCAGCCAGGCAGTGGTGGAGCATGCCTTTAATCCCAGCACTCGGGAGGCAGAGGCAGGTGGATCTCTGAGTTTGAGACCAGCCTGGTCTACAAGAGCTAGTTCCAGAACAGGCTCCAAAGCTACAGAGAAAACAAACAAATAAAAAAGGATATATATGTGTGTATGGAAGTGTGTGTTCTATCCATCTTGGCTTTGTGTTCTCCGAGCTTTCTGGCTAGCTGCACAGCAGTGCTCTGCCCTGTAGGTGAAGTTCATCACAGCCCATAAAGGGTTTTGCTGTTTGGTTTAGAAGCATTGTCCATTTTACCAACAGCGCGTTATTTCAGAAAGCCTTTCTCGAAGTCTGAAATAAGTACCTTCAAGTTTTGGTAGCTTTGAATTTGGCTTTCTAAATTCTGAATCCCTCCCCTTCTCTCCCCTCCCCCCTTCCCTTTTCTCCCTCTCTCCCTCTCTCCTCTTCTTTTCCTGTAGTGGAGATTAAACCCAGGGCCTTGACGATGCCAGAATCCCAGTCCTTTTTTCAGTCTCCTTTCGTCTCTTCTAGTTGAACCGCAGTCCTCCAGTCTCAGCCTCTCAAGTACTGAGGTTAACCTAAGGTCTCTCTCTCTGCTACAATAAATACACACAAAACAAAACTAGTTACATATTTGCTATAAAATTGAAAAGATTACGTCCTCAGTATTTTCTTCTTCCTTCGTTCCTTCCTTCCTTCCTTCATTTATTATTATTATTCCTATTATTATTATTTGGTTTTTGAGACAGGGTTTCTCTGTGTAGCTTTGGAAACTGTCCTGGCACTTGGTCTGTACACCAGGCTAGCCTCGAACTCACATAGATCTGCCTGCCTATGCCTCTCAAGTGCTTCATTTAAAGGCATGCGCCACCACCGCCCAAATTTTTTTTTTGAGTTAGTCTCACTATGAAGCCCAGCCTAATCTTAAACTTGTAGTCCACTGCTTCAGCCTCTTGAATGCTGTAATTACAGTTTGCGCCACTCTGCTAAGCTAAGTTGTATATTTTAGAACAGTTTGAGGGGCACAGCTAACTAGTATGGCAAGAATAGAGTTCCCATGTCTGCTGTATTTACACACACAGCTTCCCCTACTTCTAAGGCCCTGCATCACAGTGGTCTTTTCATTGTAACTGATGAATGTGGGTGGGTACATCATTATCACCTCAAATCCAGTTTAGGTAACAGCTTACTTTTTGTGTTCTGCTTTCTTTGGATTTTTGAAAATGTATATTGGCATATTGAACCAAACCCAGTGTAAAGTTCTTTTAGCCTGGATATAACAAAGATGTGCAGAATTCACAAAGGCTACTTTCTTTTATGGAAATCCAGTCTCATTTATTTTCTTCTTTCCTCACAACCTAAAATTATAAAAAAATAGGAAAAGGGCATGAGTCATGAAAGAAGATACAGTTTATATATTTTTTAAAGATTTATTTATTTAATTATTGTGTATACAACATTCTGCCTCCATGTATTCCCGCACACCAGAAGAGAACACCAGATCTCATTACAGATGGCTGTGAGCCACCATGTGGTTGCTGGGAATTGAACTCAGGACCTCTGGAAGAGGAGCTCTTAACCACTGAGCCATCTCTCCAGCCCCCAGTTTATATTTTTTTGTAGTTTCAACTATCATAGTTTTTTTTTTTTTTTGTTCTGGATAGTGAATAAAAACTGTAATCGAGAAAGTGTGAGCTCATAAGCAAAGCTCCATGGCTTCAGAACAGTCTCCCTGTGTTCGTGGAAAGACACTGAATTTGGGACTGGGCAAGGTTTTGAGTGGCTTCCTTAAACCAGCTGTGTGGTATTTCATTTGTGAGTTAATTAAAATGATTTTACTTAAAAATAAAAACAAATGTTTATAAACTTAACCTGTATAAATCAATTTAAGTTAGAACAATTATCAAAAAAGCCAGAGTTAATAGGCAAATAGGTATTTGCATTTTTTGATAATTGCTTACTTAGTCCACTTTATTCCTTAAAAATGTTAAATTTGAAAAATAGAGAAACGAGTGTTGATTGTGCTTAGTAACATAATGAAAGCATTTGCAGACTCAGTATTTTCTGTGTTGTTCCCTTGTAGGCTAGAAATGAAAATCTCAGCAGCATGCTAGTGGAACTTTCTGCTCAGGTAGGACAATTGCAAGCTAGAGAGCAGGCTCTCACTACCATGATAAAGCTAAAGGTAATTGAAATGCCATACCTCCACTCCAGAGCTCACCACACACTCCATCTCTCCCCAAGTCCTCAGCAGCCCAGAAACAGAGCCTCTAACATTGCTAATTTCATCTTCTCCTTTCAAAAATGAAAGAAAGGTTTACACGGTGCTCCCAGAGCTTCTGCACTTCATCTCAGTGAATCTGTTCTCTTCCCGGGTACCTGCTGAAAGGGCTCCTGAAGGTACTGACCATTATGTCACGCCCCACCTTGTCCCGCAACGACCACCGGAGCTCTTCTCACTGCAGTTTATTCCAGGACCTTTTACAATTCTCTCACTTTTCCCCTCTCTCTCTTTGCCCTCTCTCCTTCCTCTCTTCTCCTTCCTCTCTTCTCTCTTCTCTCTCCTCTCTCTCTCCCCCCCTCTCTGTCTCTCCGGGCAAACCCTCTCTCTCTCTCTCTCTCTCTCTCTGCCCTTAAGTAGGCATGGGCTGCCAACCCCGAACTGCCAGGTGGGCACTGCCCATAGGTTCACGCATATGCAGGCAGCTGATGATCATTGCGTGATCATAGCAGAGGTCAGGAGTTGATTATACATCTCCATCAGGTGTGACACCACGCAGCTCGCTACACCATTAGATGCTTGTTAGTCTTTTATAAAACAGAGGAAAACTGGCAGCTGCCAAACACTGGTGTTATGTGAAGCCACGAGAGTCTGTTAAAGGGTCTCAGGTATTTATTGAGGTATAGGGTAGGGACAGACACTGATACAGAACCCTCGAGGCGCCATGGCTGATCCAGCAGCCTCTTCCAGTCATTTTGCCCTGGTGAAAAGTACTAACCACACAAACTGTCTCTTGGTCACTTGCTGTGCTCTGACCACCCTAGAGAGTGTGAGAGCAAGAGGAAAGCAGCCCTCTCCCTCAGCCTTTACGCTGTGCTGTAGGCAGATAAGACCATGTCCTAGGGCCTGCTGCCCCAAAAGTCATTCACTAACCAGATCAAAATCCCAGCACACACTGGTAGACTGTGACGTACAAGCCCCTCAGAGAGTGAGCACCCCTCTGCCTCATGCGTCTTTGGCAGTTACTAAGCAAAAGGAGATGTTGGTGTAGTGGGACATTTGTATGAATTCATCTGTAATTTCCCCCAACATTAATGCTGGAATGTGATCATGAGCAAACTTTCTGAAAATTAATGAGAAAAATATTAAAATGTGTAGAATTAGCTTTAGTTAAAATAATGACCAGAATCATGTCCATCACAGCACTGGCAGAGGTCATGAAATAATGAAGATGTCTCCAAGTGTTTTCCCATGGTAGGACAGTGTGTTCACAAAGAAGCAGCATACCCACGATCCTGATTGAGGAAAATAGTCTTTACTAGAAGCGCAGACTTGTTGGGGCATACTTAGAAAGACTGAAGCAGGAGCTCCAATCTCCTTGTTTAAAGCTAACAAGGATCGAAGGAATTCTCTTTCTTGTCATTGGCTTTACTGCTTTTTACTTTAAAACTGGTCTTGACATAAAGTTGTTTTTGTTTTTCTTTGTTTGTTTGTTTGTTTTTGAGACAGGCTTTCCCTGTGTAATATCCCTTGTTGTCCTGGAGCTTGCTCTGTAGACCAGGCTGGCCTCAAACTCACAGAGATCCGCCTGCCTCTGCCTCCTGAGTGCTGGGATTAAAGGTCTGAATCACTACCACCCAGCTTGTGTTATTGTTTTAATAATTTTTTAAAATTTATGGTGGTGGGGGCTGAACCCAAGTCCTTTTACATGCTTGGTAAGCACTCTGCCACTGAGCTACATCCTTAGCCCTTGCATTGTTTCTGATTTTGTTTTATTTTCTACTGGCCTGAAACTTGTCATATAGCCCAGGCTGGCCCAGGACTCATTGATCCTCCTCCCTTAGCCTCCAGAATGCTGAGATTCCACCATGCCCAGTCTTCTACTAGCTAAATGGTTCACCCCAATCCTTTATCTCTCCATAAAGCCCTATGAAATTGTGAGTTTTGTTTTGTTTTTTAATCAGAATGCCAGAGCTGTGGGTATGCTCAGGAAGGTATACCTGTTAATCATGTGTTTCAGCAAGTGTCCCTGAGTCTGAGGATTGAGCCTGGGACCTCACACATGGCAGGCATGCTCTACCACTAAGCTACTTCAACCATTTACTGTTGTACATTAATTATGGTTAGAATTGCTTTTCAACCATAAAAGCTTCTAATGCAGCATGTTGGCTGGACAAAGTCGTAAGAGTTTGTTCTCCTAACAAACTAAATGTCGGTCAGAAATGTTGGCCCCACGGTACTTAACTGTCATCCAGAGAATAACAACCCCATTGAAGAACAGCCAACATATCACTTGCTGAACAGTTGTCTAATTGTCTAATTCTTGATGGATATGGTGGCACATGCCTTTAATCCCAGCACTTGGAGGCAGAGGCAGGCAGATCTTTGTGAATTTGAAGCCAGCCTGGTCTACCTCGTAAGTTACAGGACAGCCAGACCTATGTAAAGAGACTCTACCTAAAAAAATGTCTTTCAGCCGGGCAGTGGTGGTGCATGCCTTTAATCCCAGCATTAGGGAGGCAGAGGCAGGTGGATCTCTGTGAGTTTGAGGCCAGTCTGGTCTACAGAGACAGTTCCAGGACAGGCTCCAAAAAGCTACGGCGAAACCCTGTCTCAAAAAAAAAAAAAAGTTATTCATTTGTGTGGAGGAGGTGGGGGGGGATAGGGGAATGTCTATGAGAACACCTGAGGAGATCAGAGGAGGGCATCATGGTCGTCAAAACTGGAGTTAGGGGTGTTTGTTAAACTGACATCTTAACAGCTGAGCTCTTTCTCCAGTT